TATGGCACTGTATAAAGAAGTCAACAAAGGCAGAGCACAATCAAGTATCAATAAATGAGTATGTAACAAAGTATACTGGAATGAAAGCACTGAAGAAACTAGAGGGCAGTAAGTAGAAAATGTATTCATAAAAGTAGCAGGTGGGGACTTTGATCTAGAGATTTCAAGCTGCAAAAGTGAAATATATTTCTGCTCTGGGGGGAGTTGCTGATACGCCCTGGCGGGGGGGGGGGGGGGGGAGTCCCAGAGGATCCTCACAGGGGTGGGAAACCTTTTTCAGCCCCAAGGCTTGGGTTTTCTCATGAGCAACGTTCTAGGTTTTGCATGCCAGCTGTTGGCAAGTCCAGAGGCAAAGTGAGTAGCATAACAGATGAAAGCTACTTTTGTACAGTAGGCTACATTACAGCCTTGCAGAAGATACTACACCCCTCTCCACATCTCCATCAGGTAAGCAAAAGGTACTGTCATCACAGCTCAAGGCCAGATTCAGTCAGGTATAAGCATTCAAGGAGAATGAGAAGCAGGACTAATATGGCCTGTGGCTTCTCTATGACTAATGTGCACTGCTGAACCTTTGCAGCAGGGAGACTGCTGTACAGTTGTACCTTGGATCTCAAAGACCTTGGCTCCCAAACAAATTGGCTCCCTAACGATCAAAACCCAGAAGTGTGTGTTTCAGTTTTCTAGCATTCTTTTGGAACCCGAACGTCCAACACAGGTTCCGCGCTTTGGTTTCTGAACGTTTTGGAAGTCGAACGGACTTCCAAGGTACGACTGTACTGTATTATCAGGATCTAATCATCTGGGAAGCCTACATGGGTATAACAATCTCCCTGCTGCAAAAATTCAGCCCTAAGGAACTGGAAAAGTAAACATGCATCTGTAAAAGAATAGCTTTCAGAAATAAGGTGGCTGTGTAAATTTACTTGGAAAAATCTTTGTTCTGACAAAATCACTGCGAAAGGTGGAATATATTTTTTTTACTATTGAATTTAAAAGAATAGCTTGGATGGTGTGCAAAGGCACAACAGGCATTGCTCTAAAATGACTGAATATTATGGAGAGTCGTAAAAGAGAACCACACCAGGGAAATATGTATGGGAAGGAATAAAGAAAGGAGAAAGGGTGACCCTTTTGTAGTTTTGGATTGTAGCCAGGGAAATAGAATGTGTGTTTTCTCCTCCTCCTTCTTCTGCTTCTTCTTCTTCCATGAGTTGTAATATTTTGTGCAATTTGAATAATTGCATTTAATAAAACATCTGTAAAGACATGGCACTCGGATTTAAGAAAATATTGCAATGAAACTTCCAGCTGACCGGGAAAACACAGTTAATATTGAGTCTCGTAGCACCTTTAAAAGCTAGCACATTTATTATAGCATGGTCCACAAAAAAACTATGCTATAAATGTGCCAAGTCTTAAGAGTGTCACAAGACTCTGTATATTTAACAGAGTTTGAGGTCTAAGTATTTGCAAAAACTGCATTGCAACGCAAAGCAGAGAGTCAAGCCTATGCAGTCTCTGCTGGGAAATGCATGTGGAATTTTAAAGCAAACTGATGTATCTTCTCTGTTTATGTAAGCTTTAAATGCAGCCTTTGATGTTCTGTTTCCTGCCCTGACATGTATTTTTAAAAATGTAATTTTATCTAAGGTTTCACTGACAATTGGCCTGACTGACAACTGTAACATACAGCCAAATGTTAATGTTACATTCTCAGCATAGCTGAACCTTTATATAGAACCAAAGCCACAGCAGATTGCAGCAGCATGAAACAGTGGGGCGTATCCCACGTTTCCCCAGTGTCAGCATTATCTGTTAGCATCTTGAGCAGCAATTACAGTTTACGCAGGTGTGTCTAGTGACATTCCTTTGTAGTAATTCTATTAATATTTGATGACAAAGACACTATTGCTGCATTGACATAAAGCACAGGCAGAGAAGTGAAATTCATACATGAAGCCTTGCTATGAATGCAAATTAGGTTTGCTTGGTTCCCTGGGGGAGATCCTTGAGGCTGAAATCATATGCACAGTTACTCGAGACAAAGTTCCATTGAACAGATTAGATTTATGACTGAGTAAAAAATACATAGGATGACACTGTAAGAGCACTAAAGAGCTCATCTGCAAAAGTTTTCCATTAGATATTATTTTATGGCATGTTGTAAAACAGGCCACAGAGGCCCCTTTTACAAAAAAAACTTACACCCAAAAATAGTGGAATGTGTTAAACATTTGTGAACAATATTTTAGACTTGAAACCATCAAATTTACCCATTTGTGCCATCTGGAATGGAATGGCCTGGAACACCAACTTCTTCTCTATCTATCTATAGTATACCGCTCTTCATCCAAGGATCACAAGGTGATTTATAATACAAAAACAGAAAAATACATAACATAGTAACAAACAAAACAATAATACCTGCCTACACACAGTTTAGGACGCAGGTGGCGCTGTGGGTTAAACCACAGAGCCTAGGATTTGCCGATCAGAAGGTCGGCAGTTCGAATCCCTGTGATGGGGTGAGCTCCCGTTGTTTGGTCCCTGCTCCTGCCAACCTAGAAGTTCGAAAGCACATCAAAGTGCAAGTAGATCAATAGGTACCGCTCCGGCGGGAAGGTAAACGGCGTTTCCATGCGCTGCTCTGGTTTGCCAGAAGCGGCTTAGTCATGCTGGCCACATGACCCGGAAGCTGTCTGCGGACAAACGCCGGCTCCCTCGGCCAGTAAAGTGAGATGAGCGCCACAACCCCAGAGTCGGTCATGACTGGACCTAATGGTCAGGGGTACCTTTACCTTTACCTTTACCTTACACACAGTTTAAAAGGCAAAAGGTTGGTTGATTAGCCAAAGGCCTGGGAGAAGTGTAATGTTTTTGCCTGGTGCCTGTTTAAACCAATCAAATTCAGAAGCTATACATGGATAAATAGGATTGATGCAATAAGCCATGAAATGTCTCCAGAATACACATTCCCATGCCCATTCTGGACAATAAACAGTATTTTGAAAAAAGAAAAATGGCCTTGATTGCCAGCCAAATGCTAACCAAACCAACCAAGTTCACAAGTCACATTGGAACAGATGGGAATGATGCTATATCTGATGCTCTGCAATACTGCTTATCCCCCACCTTAACCAACCAACATCACCATCCTTTTCTAATGCCAACCCTCCTGCAGTGGCACCTACCCTTGGAAAACTAGGCTTGTATCCAGCGATGTAGTCCTATTAGTGCAAGAAGTTTCACCTGTGCAATGAAACTTCCTCTCCCATCCCATGCTCCATTCTGTTCTGGGAGGATCCCAAATACAACCCCTAGACTAGAGAACATGCAAAGATTATAAGAAATAGTACCCTCAGCCGAGAGTGTTTTCTTACAAGCCATAGAAAAGGGGTAGCTAGCCCACATCGCACCAAGAAGTTTGGGCTGCCGGAAATGTGTTTACACATACACACACTCCTCTGATTCTGTGATGCCAAATTTTTTATGGTGTCCTAAATTAATTAACTTTATATTACTAACTACTCCTGTAGACCCCCCTCCCTACAATACTGTTGTGGCAAAAGGTTCTTTTTGTGGCCCTATCTTTAAAACAAAAACCTGACTTCTTTTGAAAGTAACTCGCGGTGATGCTGAAACGTGTTGTGCGCCCTCCAAGCCACCCTGCAACTTACCCATTAAAAAATAAATAAAAACGATTTAAAATAGCGTAGAATAGATGATGGGCATAGAAGCCAACTGCTAGGGGATGAGGTACCTTCGCCCCCCCCAAAAAAAATTTGATGGGCATTGTCATTCAAATAGTGTGCATGTGCTGCGTCTTGTGATCGATTATGTAGGGCGGGGCTTATCTGCCTTCCCCCCCCTCCCCAAATCTTATTCTACTTGGCACTCCTGGTGATGGGAAAACCTTTCGGAAAGCAGACTTGAAACCTGCCGTCCTTGCCCCCGCTCACTCGCCCATCCTCTCCCCGGAGAGCTGCTTGTGTCTGGATGCAGCCCTCGCTCCAGGGAGGTTCTCCCTGACAGCTTCCCTTCCCCAGCCTCTCTTTTACTACAGTGGTACCTCGGGTTAAGAACTTAATTCGTTCTGGAGGTCTGTTCTTAACCTGAAACTGTTCTTAACCTGAAGCACCACTTTAGATAATAGGGCCTCCCGTTGCCGCTGCGCCGCCGCTGCACAATTTCTGTTCTCATCTTGAAGCAAAGTTCTTAACCCGAGGTAATATTTCTGGGTTAGCGGAGTCTGTAACCTGAAGCGTATGTAACCCGAGGTATCACTGTATTTAATAATTTTATTTTAATAATAAAAGAGAGATTTTCGGTGCAGCCCGCGACGACTTCTCCCAAGACCTCGTGGTTTTGCCTCTCAAATAACATCCCTGAGTGGCAGCGCCCCCCCCCTTAGGCTGCGGCAATTCTGTGCCCACTTACATGGGCGTAGCCAGGATTTATGTTGGGTGTATGCGTGTGTGCGCGCGCAGAACCTCAGTTAAATATTTTTTATTGATTTACTTGATTTTTTGGTGGGGGAGGGGGGCAGCTGCCGCTCCCTGCGTCCCCTCGGCCACGCCCATGCCCACCTCCCCAAGAGTAAGCCCCACTCAATTCAGTGGGGCATATGGCGGCACGACGCTGCTTGCAACTGTCTTGACTTCTACACTGGTGCTTCTATCTAGCCACCCGCCGCTACGCTAACATTCTGATTGGTCCGCTTTGTTTCCCACTCCCGCCCACCGAGGGGGAAAAAAATAGAGGAAGCGGTGGCGAGATGCTAATTTTCTTAGCTCTATGGTGCAACTTCAATTCTCGCGATGCGGAAACCTTTTCCCACTACAATTCTCGCGATACTCAGAACCACTGGCCTCCCATTGGTTCGTCACTCTCTCTCTCTCTTTCTCTCTCGCTTGCTTTGCTTTTTGAATGATAGTCCCGTGACCCATTAGCGAAGGGCAACGTCAGCGGTGTGAGGGCGGGACGTCCGGTCGTGTCTTTTCCCTCCCCCTGTTTCCCATCCCCCATTGCGGCTCGGCCAAACTTCCGCTGAGCTGTGCTTTGAAGGCCCGGCCCGGTCAGCCGGCGGCGCGGACACCATGGCTTGGGCTGCGCCCTCTTTGCCCAACGATAAGTCTCGGTAACGTGCGGTGGCGGTGCTGTCCGCGCTGCTTATGGTTCTTTCTGTGGCGGCTCCCCGCCATTTCTGCCGGCTGTGGGTTGGGGACCCCGAGGGGGGAAGGTGGTTATTATAAGTGGCTGTTATTCTCTTGGCGGTGTCGCCGCGCCTGCTGCTCGACGGCTGTGGCAGCCCTTGAATTAAAAGCGTATTTATAAGTAATTAGAACCGCGGGATAACTGTCTGCTGATAGCCGAGCGACCTGGTTTCAAATTCATTTTAATCTATTAGACCAGTGGTTCCCAACCTTTTTTTTGGCCGTGCCCCACCTAAGCATCTCTAAAATCGTGATGCCTTCCTTCCTCCCCCCCACCCCCGTGGCATATAATTCTTACTACAGTATTCAAAAAGTGAACTCCTTTTCACATGAAGGAAGCCTAAAAGGCCATTCACACTTCTCGAATTGCCCCCTTTAAAAATCAAATTGCTCCCCTGTGGGCGTGTGCCCCACGCTGGGAACCACGGTATTAGACCATAAGGGTTTTCGTGCATTAATTAATGCACTTTTTGTAATTGGGGAAGCAAAATAATGTTTCGGAATCAAGAGCCGTACTTCCTTCTTAGATGGTATACGTGGAAGTAAGGATCCTCTTAGACCTTTTGCAGAACTACGTCCTGGCTTTAACACAAACATGCATATGGAGATCCTTCCCACCTATTATTATATTATTATTATTATTATTATTATTATTATTATTATTATTATTATTATTATTAGACATGTATTTCTATGGTTTTTATGCTGTTAATTTGCTGCAGTTCACTTAAGGATGTATTCATCTTGTGTTAGAAATGGGCCCCTTTAAGATGATGGCTCACACTGGCAAGTTTTATGGGCATTTAAAACAATATAAGTGGAATACATGGTATATATTGTTGCAGTACAGTTCTTGTTCAGAGTGTCCACCTGGCCCATGTCTAGCATTCTCTGTTCCATCCACACTCCCTTATTTTCAGGGTACACTGCAGTCGCCATTGAGCAAGCTCAATCCTAAATAGGTTGGTTTGAGGTTTCCCCATTTTTTTAATACTTCTGTAAACCTTTTGTCCTGTGAACTGCCCTGAGACCTGCAGGGATAAGGCGGCATACAAATTAAATTAATAAATTAATGAATTAATAATTTAAAGGTAAAAAGGTAAAGGTACCCCTGCCCGTACGGGCCAGTCTTGACAGACTCTAGGGTTGTGTGCCCATCTCACTCAAGAGGCCGGGGGCCAGCGCTGTCCGCAGACACTTCCGGGTCACGTGGCCAGCGTGACATCGCTGCTCTGGCGAGCCAGAGCCGCACACGGAAACGCCGTTTACCTTCCCGCTAGTAAGCGGTCCCTATTTATCTACTTGCACCCGGGGGTGCTTTCGAACTGCTAGGTTGGCAGGCGCTGGGACCGAACAACGGGAGCGCACCCCGCCGCGGGGATTCGAACCGCCGACCTTTCGATCGGCAAGCCCTAGGCACTGAGGCTTTTACCCACAGCGCCACCCGCGTCCCGCTAATTAATAATTTAGGTTCCTCTAATCCTGCCAATACCACCTTCTTGTATGTGGATGGTGCTGTTTTGCTAATAAGGCTAACATTTGGATAACTGATTGTTATTTGCTGTATCGAATATAATGTGTCTACTGCCTGGTTAAACAAGAGATACATTTTTAGTTGATTTAATTTTGTTCTTACTCAATTGATTAGTTAAGTATTACAGCTTTTGGGGGTGGCAGCCAAAGCCTTTAGCTCCATGCTTCATATTTGCAATCAAGTGAAGGGGAAAGTGTATTTTCTTTAAAAAGTTGATCATGCCATTGTCTGGCAGCTGTAACTCCACTTTGGTTGGCTCAAGGCAGGAACTTTAAAGTTGAGTCTCAAGCTGAGTCTTGGGGTGGGGTACAGTACTAAATATTCTAAACATGCACCAGCAGCTTTCAACTTGTGTTGCTTTTCTCTTGGCTTAGGTTCATCTGCATATATCCTGCCTATATAAATAACAAGAAGACAATAGCAGAAGGAAGAAGAATACCACTTGAGAAAGTAATTATTGGATTGGGGAGGAGCGGGTCACATTAATTTTTTTAAATATGTGTAAAACACGCTTTCATTGGATATACAGTATGGGGGTGTTCAGCCTAAAACATAATACAGCAGTAATAATGTTGGGTAAAAGAATTGGTAACATTAATAAAACTGGCTGGCAAAGAAATTATAAATTTAGTTATATACCCTTTTTTATATTGGAACAATTATACTCAGCTTCCACCCTTCCGGTATGCAGCCTGAGCTGTTTATGTATGAATTTAGTTATATACATACCATGCATAAAAATAATTTGTAGAAAGGGGGAGGAGGGAATTAATGATTGCATACATTTTTAAAATTACCTGTGCCAAATACCTAAAGGATTTACTACTCCCTTCCCATCGAAGAGCCTTTAAGCCCGTTTGTGTGCCTGCAACCAAGAAGTACCAGATTCAATGGACCACATTCTCTTAGATTGCCCTTTACATAGCAGACCTTGCCAACTGATGCTGAGTAAAATGTTGCTTATCCGGCCCACAACTCCAAGAAGAAATCAAATGAGGTTTCTCCTGGCAGATCGGGGCAAAGATACCAGTGCTCTAGTAGCTTCCTTTTTAGCCACAATTTTGCCCGAAAGGGTTTCCTTCCCTTCGGGAAATAGCCTGGGTGTAGCAGAACATCTAAGTGTACACGGCCACAGTGTGACCCTTGACAGTTTCACCCTTGTCCTTTTAATTATCCCAGTGATTTGAAACAGTTTATATTGTGATGCCAATAAAGGTATTTGATTTGACATTTTAAAAATTTATTTACCAGAGACTGTGTCAGCCCCCCCACAACCCTGTATTCTTAATAGTTGTGTTTCACCAGCTCAGAACATTTGGTTCTTGCCACAGTACTTTAATATCTCATGTTGGTGCAAAGTAATACTTACTGAACTGTTCATTGATCATTTTTTTAAAGTTTATACGCAAGAAAAGCTTTATTACTTGGAGTAATCAACCATTTTAGCTGCACCTGATAGTAACTAAAAATGTCTGACTCTTCTAGGCAGTTGAAAATCCAACACCGACAGAAATTCAAGATGTATGTGCAGCAGTTGGACTTAATGTGCTTTTGGAGGTAATAATAATGTTTAGTTCTCAATGTAATTGGAGCATATACCACAGGTGTACATGTCTGTCCACTTTAGTTTTATTTATGTTTTTATTGTACTTACTAGTTGCTTGTTTTTACAAAGAGTAAAAATATGTGTACTACAAAATAAGTGTTCATATTTTTAATGGTAATCAGAGGTGCTTAGATTGGAAAGCACCTTAAGAGTAAGCTATGAGCTATATGAATAATGGCCTACCTTATGGAACTTGTGTAAGGTTTACTAAAATAATGTGTGAAAAACTTGTGCAAACTAATTGTTCAGTCTTGAGCATATTTACTCAGAGTTTAGTGTGGGTCTTACTCAATAGTAAGTGGACTTCATATTGCAGTCATAGTATGAATGTATTTTTAAGTAAGCCTGGTTATAAAATGGTAACTTTTCCCCCAAATGCTAGAAAAACAAAATGTATCCCAGGGAGTGGAACCGTGATGCACAATATAGAGGAAGAGTGCGCATTGAGCTGAAGACAGAAGATGGCAAACTATGTCAGCCTCAGTTTCCAACACGTGAGTGAGATTAGCATTCTTAAATTTACTTTTTGAACTAAAGACACCTAAGTTTAGGTACCCAGAGGTGTGTGTGTGTACATGCAGGGGTGGGGAGTCCTGCAAAAACCTTCCTTACAATAAGGGGCTGCTAGAGGTAGCACCGCAATCATTGTCGGGATCTCCATTCGACCGAGCTGATAAAGCTCATCCTCCTCCCGCCGAGTCCTTCGGAATCGCCTCCGACGTGATTGACGACCTGAGCCTCTTGATAAGGCTCCAGGCACATCCCCCATTCAGCAGAGTTTCCAGCACAGGGAATAGACGAGAGGTTTGGGCTACATTGCTATGCATTATTACTAAGCTACGCAGGCAGAAAAGACATCCTCTCTCTGTGAGAGCAGAGAGCAACAGGAACAAAGGAACAGGAAACCACTAACGTCACATCCGTCTCCCGTGAGATTTCCAACAGTATGGAATGTGCGGAATGTAAACAGACTCTTGTGACTCCAAAGCACTGCTCAGTGGCAAACAGAAACTAACAATCATAGCCATATGTGACCACCCTCTCCCCCCTAGGGAGCACTGTTTTCCTAGTAAAAACTATACATATACTCCGGCACCTTTCAGTACAAGAGGCCCCTTCCCCATCTCTCTGACTTGATTTGGGCTTAGTGTATTTTCATCTGCACAGTATTAAAAAAATAAATTCTATCAATGCAAATGCTAGACCCAGGGCCGGCCCACCCATGAAACAATGTGAGGCAACCGCCTCGGACGGCAGGATCGCCAGGGGCAACAGTTCCCAATGTAGATATTTATTCCCTGCCCCCTTGTTCCTGATGTAGATCTTCCATCAACCCTTCTTCCCTGGCGGAGTGGGGGAAGCTATTTTGTGGTTTGCCTCAGGTGCCAAAATGTCTTGGGCCAGCTAGAGCCCTTGATCATTTTCAAATACTTCTGTAAGCATAAGTCTAAATACAGTAGACATACCTTAAGTTCTGCCACCTTACTCCAGCAGGATCCCAGTTCTCTTTGTGAATGGAAGGACCCCTTCCATTCACAGAGGGCTCTTTCACAGCCAAACTGAACCATGTTACTTGAGATGGGTTCTTCTTTTTTGTAGCGAAGGAATGTGTGTGCAACTCTCCCATGTTTTGCTTGGCTGTGCCCACTCTTGCCTTTAAAGCCCCTGGAAGGATAGTTATGAGGGGTTGTGACCCTTGGGCTGAAAACGGCTCCCCATTTCTGCTTCAGGTGACTAGTTTTGGGTGGTTTCCTGTGTAACTTCCAGTTACCTTGTAAATGCAGCAGCGGTGGTGGAAAATGGAAGGGCTTTTTCGTTGCCTCTTCTCTCATTTTTCCTTTACCTCTGTCGTCCCCCCCCCCCTTAGGTAAGGCAGTGATGCTATATGCAGCAGAAACAATTCCTAAACTAAAAACAAGGACACAGAAAATGGGAAGCAGTGACCAAAGCCTACAGCAAGGAGAGGGAAGTAAAAAAGGTAAAGGAAAGAAGAAGAAATGAGTGTGGCTGATACATATGCAATGTATTAAGATGAATATAGATGAAGGGGATTATTGGCATCTGAACTGAAAGTTGGAGAAACAAATGAGAACTGTCAAAACTTTCTGGACTGGACTTTGTTTCACTTTTATCTAATGCTACAACAGATCAATTGGAAATATATGGAAACATCTACTTTAGTATTTATACTGAAAAGCTTGTCTATTAATGTGCAGAAATACATTAAAAATGGACACAGTCAATACTTCATAGATCTGATTGACCCTGATATGGTCCAGATTGGTAAAGATAACAGAGGAATAGGTTAATTCAGTGTTGTATGACGCTTCTAAACTGATTATTCTCATTATTAAAATAAACAACTCTTTGAATCAAACCGTTTAGAAAGCACGGTCTTAAAACTTCCTCAGTCTAAAATAACTGGTTTTAATTTTATATCTGAATCATTCTATAATGGAGCTAGGCAATCTGAAGACCCCTCATGAATGAGGGATGTTGTAACATTTGTTTAGACTACTTGTATAGAATTTGAATAGTCTAATGAACGTGGAACGCAGACTACAGTCAGTCAGATTTGCATATTCAACAATAGTCGGAAGTTTATCCAATTTGTAAAAATGTATTTAATTCTAAAATATTTATGGGGGTAAAGTGTGAACTGTTTTGATGTTGCTTCTGCAATGTTCCTTATGGTTTACCATATCTGTTATAATGCTTTTAGAGCATGATACATAATACTATAAAAAAAATCACTTTTAAGAAATTATTGTAATTGGATTAATCCCAAAGTACCTTGGGCCAATATATGTATACTCTTTCTGCTTAAATGAACTTGGTTACCCAACTGCTACCTGAGACTAGCATAAAATCATGATAATACAAAATTATGACACATTTAAGTTGGTGAATTGTTTAGCCAAAAGTCACGAATTCTTAACAGGATTCGAGTAGCGATACTGTGGCAGAGAAGTGTAAGTTCCTGTCACATCAAATATATTGTATTTTATGCACATAGTGCCGTTCCTGTGTTCCCGTTTGCAGCTCTAGTGGTGCTTTGTGTCATTCAGCCAATTTGTCTTCAACTTTTCAGAGTTGAGCCCCACCTTTAGACCAAAAATGCATTTATTTTTTTACCATATTTGTATGGTTTTAGCGCTGCTGCTGTGACCTGCCTTAAGTGAGGCTGCAAATCAATCGTGGGTCCTAGCCTACCAGTTGGAAGACCAGTAGTTTGGTCCTCAATATCAGAACCCACAAAGTGCATGATTTTAAATTTGCAAAATGTGAAAGTTTTGCCAAATTCCCCTAGATGGCAGCAATGTTAAACACGACTTGCTCAGTGGAAAACAGGACTCCTCTCAAGCATGCTGTTAGACTTGCTCTCTTTCAAGTTTCTGTAGAGTATTTTTTAAAAATTGCCTTCTAGCCTAGTCTTGTCTTTAAATGATTTAAGTCATATCATGTTTGCAAATACTGCTTTCTTGCTGTTGTCGTATTTCCAAAATGTCAGGGTGACACAAAGGACTTCTTTATACATTATACATTATTTTACAGAAAGTACATCTGTGTAGGGGAAAGTATGTAAATTGTCAAGTGGAGGGATTTTTGTGTTATCGGAAGAGGCTTCAACACTGTGCTTTTACAGCAACCCCACAATTCTTGACTTAAAGGCCTAGGTACAGTGGTGCCCCGCAAGACGATGCCTCGCAAGACGAAAAACTCGCTAGACGAAAGGGTTTTCCGTTTTTTGAGTCGTTCCGCAAGACAAATTTCCCTATGGGCTTGCTTCGCAAGACGAAACGTCTTGCGAGTTCTTGCAAGTTTGTTTCCTTTTTCTTAAAGCCGCTAAGCCGCTAATAGCCGTGCTTCACAAGACGAAAAAACCGCAAGACGAAGAGACTCGCGGAATGGATTAATTTTGTCTTGCGAGGCACCACTGTATAGAGAAACATTTTCGCCTGACGCCCGAAGATATGTAATGAATGCGCCAAGCAAGCCTCCCTGGGAAGAGCATTCCACAAGCAGGGAGCCACCACAAAAAAGGCCTTTTCTCATCTGGCTGCCCTCTGGATCTCTGATGATTATTGTGACATCCGGGTTAATTCATATGGGGAGAGGTGGTCCTTGAGGTATTGTGGTCCTGAGCCGTTTTAAGGCTTTATAGGTAAAAACCAGCACATTGAACTGGGCCTGGAAACTAATTGGCAGCCAGTGCATTGCTCAAACTGTCTTACCCCGGTGAGCGACCTGGCTGCCAAATTCCGCATTAGCTCAAGTTTCTAATGTGTTGAGTAATGCTGCTGCTTAGCTGACAAAACAACCTAAAATGCTGACCCTAAGAATCTGTTAGTGGCATTTTTTGAAATCTGTTTTCGGGGCCACCTGCTATATCAGTCCCAGAATTCAACTTCCGACGCACATTCGGAGGCTTCCTTGTGTTTGTTGTACCTTCTGCATCTGTATTTAAAGTGTGCTTTGCATCTGTTTAAAGACTTGCCAGAAGCATTCTGCTCAAGGGAGTTTACAAAAAAAGAGTAATCAGACTACATAAAACATCCAATGTCATCATTTTGTGTTATACTAAAAGAACCAAGCACATTTAAAATATACAATGAGAACTCTATCCGAGTCTGTAGAATTTATAAAATGAATCCAAATATTTGTCTAAAGAAGGGATGTTTTGCAGTGATGGCTGGAGATGGAATTACAGTTTCATGATACATACCAACTGTTGCTACATTGAGGTCAAAGCCAAGCAACATTCATCATGTGACATTTTTACCATTTCGGTTTCATGTCACATGATGAATGTGATGATTCACATGGTGGAAAACTGGTGTTTTTACTACATTAAAAAGTAAAATTAGAATGTGGGGTTGAGCAAAGTAGCATGGTTGCCGTTTGTCTGTTAGTCTTGCTTGAATTCTGTTTTGTAAGGAGGGGAGAGTGCTGTTGAATTCAGGTCCTGCTTGTGAGCTTTCTGTAGGCATTTGCTTGTCAACTGAGAACAGGATGCTGAACTAGATGGGCCACCGGACTGTTCCAGCAAAAGCATATGTTCTTAAGGACTTTTTAAAAGGGTTTTTTTTTTCCTCCTCTGCCCAAACGTCTTGAGGACTTGTGTTTCAAGTACAGCTTACAGGGCTACCATAAGCTATGGCTGCTTAAAAAGAGCATCAGCAGGGAACTGAACATTATTAGACTCTGGATAAATAGTATATTTCAAATTCCTTTTACTTTCCCCCCAGTTGTGTTTAGTATACATATCGGTCTCCCCTTTTCTATTTTATCTCTTAATCAGAGGGGTTAAAAGCAAGAGGGCTGCCTTGGTCACCTCTAAGGCAAAGGAGAGGAATAAAATGTTCCCCATAAATGCAAATATTTTATCCCACAAAAAGAGATATGACCAAACATTGATGGTATAAACTATATGAAACACCTCCCTCTGCCCCCCACTAGTGAATTTTCTTAGCCCTTTTTACTATGCAGACAAAGAGCTCAACTGTGAAGATTTAGCCAGGTCAGTTTTTGCAATAGTATATTGGATGAAAATGAATTTTCGCATAATCCTTAATTCCTCTACATGCAGTGTAACTATATTCTGTGAAGAAATGTAAAAATCACATTAGGTTAAGATACTGTTCTTTATTTGTTTGCATTCTTCTACGTACATTACATCTTCAGCACAAGCTGGTAAGGTATATTAACTTTTTCAAGCACTTGACAATAATTTTTGAGTGTGGATCCAGAGCTGCCCTTCTACAAACAGAACACCTCCCATTTGCGGAAGGGACTGAGATCTGTCAGACATACCTACTGCAGGAGGGTGGATGGGAGAGATGGTCTTAACTTATTTTCTTCTGCAAGCCCCCCTTGTGTCTACCCCCTAGTTCTGAAGGATCCCCGAACCTTCACTAGCAGATTTTGGGGAGTTACAGGTGACTGTGAGGGGACCCTCTTCTACAATGGCTCAGAGCATCTGGCTACATCAAGTTCGGGGCAGTTTTTTGTATGTGATGGATACATTGATGTAAGGCTGCCGATACTTTGTTCTGCTATGTTTACAAATTGAAGAGGTACTTTCAATGTATATATAACTAGATTTTGTTTCTATGTGAGGATAAATCATCTGAGCCTCACAAATTTACACTTGCTTGCACCTTGCCCTACAATCTATCTAATATGGCAGCAATTTAATCAGTTCAGCTTCCACATAAATTACTCAAAAGCACGTAAAAATGCAATAGAAATAAAACATTACAGCATGCAAGACTGCTCTGCAGCTAAAACGTTAGCATCTTCTGACTCTTTCAGACTGGTTTTAAATGCTTATGAACAAACATGAAGCCCACCAGTGTGGACTTATTTTGTCATCATTTTCAAGGTAGTTTAAAGCTGGCACAAATAATTTCCAAACTGGAAACATCTGCTAAGGGTGGACACACTAGCTAAATTGTTCCTCTGTTGTTACACAAGACCTTTAGCACCACTGGTGTTTCACGTTTGTAATAGGCAGTAGCAGCCCTTTATAGGTCTACCACCAGAATGGAACAAACTTGATTGAGAAGCGTAAACATCAACCAAGTGTTAACTACCAGTGCATCATTCCTTAAGGATGTAGGGATGCACATTACCTCGCCCCTTTACCTGCATTCTGTACATATGTATATCATGTGCTTGCTTGGATGCACATCAAAAGCATTTGTACCAAACATAAGGTTTAAAATACAGTACTCTGGCTTTCCTTTGCTGCTAAATCTCGGTTAAGTCAAGGGGCAAGTCCTTTCCCTCCACATCTCGCTACCTCTATGCTGATTTGGCATTAAGTGGATATTGGTCACCAAGAGAAAAGCAGTGCAATTGGCTTAATTAGAAGATATGGTAGTGAACACTAGCTTTGATAGTATAGAGAATAGGCTTGTTATGGATCTTACATTTGAAAATGAAACCTTGGTACAGTGGTGCCCCGCAAGACGAATGCCTCGCAAGACGAAAAACTCGCTAGACGAAAGGGTTTTCCGTTTTTTGAGTCGTTCCGCCAGACGAATTTCCCTATGGGCTTGCTTCGCAAGACGAAACGTCTTGCGAGTTCTTGCGAGTTTGTTTCCTTTTTCTTAAAGCCGCTAAGCCGTTAATAGCCGCTAAGCCGCTAATAGCTGTGCTTCGCAAGACGAAAAAACTCAAGACGAAGAGACTCGCGGAACGGATTAATTTAGTCTTGCGAGGCACCACTGTAACAGGAGCGGTCTGGCTACCAAATAGGCAGAAGCTGGTTATTACCATTCTGTCTTGCTGGCAAGCTTGCAAGGGCACGTGGCTGTTCCATGGTAGAGGCAGAATGCCAACCTAGATGGCTGTTTTGACTGAACCAAGCCAGGCATTATCTGTATTGATTAGTTTCTTTTCTACAAAGTTGCAGGGAAGCTCTTTCGACTTTACGTGCAAAGCAGGCTTCAAATAACCACCAGTAACACTCTGTGCCGAGCCCAATAGGAAGGAATGGATGCTGAAGAGGGACAGTGTTTGGTAGAGTATATCAGGGTGCTTTCCAAAACGGGGTTTAAAATCAGGTCCAGACAGCGGTTTAAAAAAATAAATAGGTATACAAATATTAAAGAGGCCTGTTTTGGCTGATACCCTTTTCACTAAGTTCTGTTGCAACCACTTCGTTGCTTAGTGTTGGTATGACTTGCTTTGCTTCTTCCACTGTCCCAATTAAAAATCTCATGTGTAATGATAGCATTTATTTATGCGATACCTTCTTTCCTTATTCTTTCTCTTTCACATAGGTGTTATTTATCCTAGACACAAATCGCTTTCTGTTTTTGTCTCGTTACCCATAAATTCTTCTAAAATTATCCTAGATATTTTTCAAATATTCAGTATTTTTTGAACGTCTGCCTCTTGTGGACACTACTCTTCAATTGGCTTTCTTATCTTTCCTTTTTAAACAGTCACATGTGTAGTAACCCTAAGAGTAGGTGTAAATCAACCTGCTTTCCTTTATAAGAATGCATCATCATCCTTTGGTTCCACTGGCAATCCTTAACTAAAACGAAACAAGCAAGGCTTTTTAATGCCTAGAGAGAATAATTGAGAAGGGCCCAGGAGCGCCTGCTAGCTGCCACATAGTGAGACCTTGGCCACAGAGCAATATTGTGGTTTTGTTGTTGTTGCAAATATTCACGAGCATACTTCAGCGTACATCACACATGTGCATCAACAGCAGTAGGAGGCTCCACTGCAGAGCAGCTATTCCACAAAGGCCACAGGATAAGGCCCAGATGAGTGTACAGACCTAGGCATCATTATCTCACTTCCTTTTCACATACACCCATTCGGTATGTATATTCAACCATTGCAACTCTGGTCATAAACAACAAAGTGTTCTTCGCAGTGCTTTAAGGACAATTCCCATAGATACACACTCTTGACGAAATACTGCAAGTTACAAGCAG